TTATCACTACGTGATGATGTGAATGTTGTATGCGATAATGGGAACGTTGCGTGCGATAATGTGAATGTATCCTCGTCTACGGATGTAAACAGAAAACAAAAGAGAGCTCACGATGCATTATCAAAATTATGGCACTGTCGTTTAGGCCATATTTCGAGGGGGAGAATAGAAAGACTAGTTAAGAATGAAATTCTTCCTCCATTAGAGCTCTCAGATTTAGAACAATGCAGAGAATGCATTAAAGAAAAGTATGTAAAGAAAATTAAGAAAGATGCCAAACGAAGTGTAGGAATTCTACAGATTATTCATACAGACATCTGTGGTCCGTTTCTTGTAAAGAGTGTGGATGGTTATGATTCATTCATAACATTCACAGATGATTACTCCCGTTATGGCTACATTTATCCAATCAAAGAAAGAACAGAAGCATTGGATAAATTTAAGATATTTAAGGCAGAAGTTGAAAACCAACACAATTTAAAGATTAAGATAGTCAGGTCCGACCGTAGGGGGGAGTACTATGGTCGACATACCCCATATGACCAAGTTCCTGGACCTTTTGCAAGGTTCTTACAGAAGAATGGCATAGTAGCCCAGTATTCTACATCGGGCGAACCTCAGCAGAATGGAGTAGCTGAAAGGCGCAATCGTACCCTGATGGATATGGTGTGCAGTATGATAAGTTACTCCACCTTACCGATGAGCCTGTGGATGGAGACGTTAAAAACCGTCATTCATATTCTCAATAGAGTACCAAGTAAGTCGGTGCCCAAAATACCGTATGAGTTGTGGACAGGAAGAGTATCCTCACTAAACCACTTACATGTGTGGGGGAGTCCTACTGAGGCTAAAGTATTTAACCCAAACATTGGGAAGCTAAATCCCAAAATAATGAGTTGCCATTTCATTGGTTACCCAGAAAAGTCAAAAGGTTTTCATTTCTACTATCCAGACAGACATATAAAGTTTATGAAATGAGACACGTAGTCTTCCTAGAGGATGAAATGATGAGGGGGAGCATGGTAGCTCGAGAAATTGACCTTAAAGAGAAGCGGATGTATGCGCCCACTCCGATGATTCATGAGCCATTTTTCTCACTACCTGTTGTCGCTGCACCGATAGTGTAAGATACTATGGTGCCAGCACCTGTTGTTATTCCGCCTGTGGCAACAATGAATGATGATGAGGAACCTGTTCTTCAGGATCCTGTAGAACCTATTGCCACAAATGAGAGGGAGCAACAATAGCCTCAAACAGAAGATGTGCCAAATGTGGAGGCCCCTAGAAGGTCTCAAAGAGTTAGAAAATCAGCTATTCCTCCTGATTATGAAGTGTACAACACTGAGGAATTTCAAATAGAAGATGATCCCACCTCATTTGAAGAAGCAATGAGAAGTGATCATTCATCAAAGTGGCTTGAGGCCATAGAAGATGAAATGAAATCTATGAATGCTAATAAAGTTTATGATTTGCAAATAATTCCTAAAGGAGCCAAAACAGTAGGCTGTAAATGGGTCTACAAAACAAAACTTGACTCTCAGGGGAATATAGAGAGATATAAAGCATGACTTGTGGTAAAAGGCTTTACGCAAAGAGAAGGAATTGATTACAATGAGATATTTTCTCCAGTCTCATGTAAGGATTTTTTCAGAATCATAATGGCATTAGTGGCATATTACGATTTAGAATTACATCAGATGGATGTAAAGACGGCATTTCTCAACGGGGACTTGGAGGAAAATGTTTACATGGCACAACCGAAAGGTTTTGTTATGAAAGAAAAAGAACGAATGGGATGCCGCCTAAAGAAATCCATTTATGGATTAAAACAAGCTTTAAGATAGTGGTACTTGAAGTTTGATCAGACAATAAGAAATTTTTGGTTTAAAGAGAATGTAGAGGACAATTGTGTCTATACAAAGTTTAAGAGTGGGAAGTTCATCTTCCTTGTCCTGTATGTGAAAGATATCTTACTTGCTAGTAGTGATGTCAGTCTACTACTGAAGACAAAGAAGTTTTTGTCCTCAAAATTTAATATGAAAGATCTTAGTGAAGCTTCGTTCATTCTAGGGATCGAGATTCACCGAGATAGAAGTAAAGGTGTATTAGGATTGTCACAAAAGGCATACATAGAGAAAATCTTAAAGAAATTCAGTATGCACAAATGTAGTCCCTCACCTGCTCCTATAGTCAAGGGCGATAGATATGAGGATTTTCAATGCCCCAGGAACTAATATGAGATCGATTAAATGAAAGCGGTTCTATATGCTTCAGCTGTCGGAAGCTTGCAATATGCTCTGCTTAAGTATGTACGTGCCCTGACTTGGCATTTGTTACCAGGTTACTTGGCAGATTCCAGAGCAATTCTGGAATAGAACACTGGAAATTAGTAAAGAAAGTCTTACGTTATTTGCAAGAAACGAAATACCTCGTGATGACATATAGAAGACCTGATTCACTCCATATAGTGGGGTATTCAGATTCTAATTATGCGGGAGATGATAGAAAATCCACGTCTGGATATGTATTCACTCTCGTAGGGGAGCTATTTCATGGAAAAGCTCAAAGCAAACCGTCACTACATCGTCCACAATGTATGCCGAGTTTGTAACGTGTTATGAGGCAACGGGACAGGTGAACTGGCTAAAGAAGTTCATAACCAGTTTGAAGGTGGTTGGCGACATTTATAGACCACTTAAGTTATAATGCGATAATAATCCGGCAGTACAGTATGCTCACAACAATAAGTCAAGTGGTGCGGCCAAACACATTGACATAAAGTATTATGTTGTGAAAGATAAAATTTGGGATCATGTTATAAGTCTTGAGCATATAAGAACAGAAAAGATGCTCGCGGATCCGCTTACAAAAGGCTTACCACCCAACGTGTTCAGAGAACATGTAGCCGGCATGGGTTTAAGGGAAAGCCTATAATTTCTGGATAAAAGAAGGCCCAAAGATAAGTATCTATTTTAGAACAGAGTAGTGTGTTGCAGCTGTTAAATCTATCGACAATGGACCGTGACGATGAGGCATGCTCTATGCGCTAATCTGTAATGGAATGAACAAAAGTAAATAATATGAAAGTGAAAGATGGAAAGAGATTAAGGGGGAGATTGTTAGGTTGATCTCTAATCCTAACTAGACCCAACGGCCCAGTTGGGCCTTTGATTCGCGTCCTGATCGGGGGCGCCCAGCCCACCATGGCTGGAGGGCTCCTATCACCCTGCGCTATAAAAAGAGGTGGGGGCCGGCGGCTCTTATCACGAGGTTGACCTGAGCCGAGCTCCCCACCAACATCTAAACCCTAATCCGATCAGAGAGGGGTGCAGCCAGTGACGGGAAGCCACCAGCCGCGCCACCTGCTCCATCGATGTCGACGTCTTCACCGCCCTCTTCACCGACCGTCGCTGCCCGTGCGTAGACATCAGCAACGAACCTGATAGCGTCCGCTGAACCTTCTCCTCTGCGGTGTCAAGTTCAACACCCTCTCCCTTCCATCTCTGTCTCTAGTTCTACATGCATTAGAATGTACTACGTTCTTTATCTCGAATAGAACCACTGTATACGGCTAGATCTATGGTCCTAGTGATTCAACAATTATAACACCAAGGGGTATTAGGAGGGGAAACAATGGACCTGAGCTCCTCAAGAAAACCGGGTCTGAGCTCAGGGGTGGCAGGAGCATAAATGTTGGTGATGAAGATAGAAAAGTTAGTGGTGGTGGAGGAGAGGTGGAAAAAAAGGGAGTGCGGTGTAGTAGAGGTGCCCAAAGAACTGAACAGGGAATCTGGCTAGGCAGTAAGGATGCCACCGGAGGTGCCGTTGGCAGGAGAGAACTGAAAGGAGTTAAGACGGCGAGGAAGAAAGGAGTGAAGCTTGAGAGGGGGATGTAGTCTCTTGGAGAAGGACCAAGGTTGGATTAGAGGAGAGGAGCTCAGCAAGGACATCACCACATTTTTCAGTCACCCAGACCTCTAACATTCCAACGGCAAGCAGAAAAGCTTCTATTCATAAGCAAAGTTGTACAACGTCTTCTTCAGACAGTGCAAACAGGCCACTGCAGCCTGTTCGGCAGTATGTATTTAGCTTATCAGTCAGCCAATAGTGTTTTTCTCTCACACCAAATTAGACAACAGTATTTTCAGTTATGACTTATAAGCTAATCCAGCCAAAATGAATAGGCTGATTACAACATTATTCCACAGGTGGTGACCTAGGTACAGGGCACCTAGTTTCAGGACTCTACAAGATGCTGTGACATTACTGACAAGCCAATTTAGGCCTTGTTTAGATTGGGGTTAGGAATCAGTATTTGACATCCCGTTTGTATTTGATAATTATTGTTCAATCATGGCCTAACTAGACTTAAAAGATTCGTTTCGTAATTTACAATCAAACTATATAATTAGTTATTTTTTATCTACATTTAATATTCCATACATGTGTCTAAAAATTTGATGTGATAAAAAAAGAGTGAAAAAACTTACTATCTAAAGAAGGCCTTAAACAAAAAGACACCCTTACAACGCCTACAGGAGACAAAATTGGAGCCCGGGGACCTCGAGACCTGGCGATCTACAGGATGGAACCAGGCGTAGGACTGTCTGGCAGTGCTGCGGGTAGCACTCGCCACAGGGATGCAGATGGACTTGGACTTCGGCCTTGTTAGCAGCGGTAGTACTTTCGTTTGTATTTGATAATTATTATTTAATTATGATCTAATTAGATTTAAAAGATTCGTCTCGTAATTTATAATTAATAATTAGTTATTTTTTATCTATATTTAATACTTCATATATATGTTTAAAGATTTGATGTGATAAAGAGAGAGTGAAAAAACTTACGATCTAAAGAAGGCCTTCATTCTTCTGCGGACGGCGACGCTGTCACACCGAGAAGCACGCCAGCTCTTCCTTGCTTGCACCACAGGCCTCAGCAATCTCGGTGAGGGAGTCATCATCAGCTGAAGGATAATAGGGATCAGATAAGAGATAGGAATGAGAGAGTGCATTACGTATTGCTGTAGCAGCCTTGTCCTCTGGGTGCTCGAAGTCCGGCTCCTCCTTAGCCTTGAGCCTGATGCTCCTGCGCAGCTTGCGGGCACTGTCCTCGGCCCTCTTGCGCCTTGCACGTTTCTTGCGAGCAAGACTCACATGCTCCTCGTCAGTGGGTGCGCCAACAGCCAAGCCAGGAGCCGCATCCAGAGACACGGAACGGAAGCGAGCGCGCTGGCTGCATCGTCAACTTGGGCGGCGACCTCATCAACTGTGTTCTCCTGCATCTCAGGGACTCCACCAAGGCAAGGCCAGAATAGGAGGCTAAATCTGAGTGCTTGCAGTGGCTCTGGTGGGATAGGGAGGGGCACGCCTGGTGTTAACTGGACGCACAGGTTAGGAGGCGAAGCAGAGTCTTCCCATTCCAGGACAGTGGCAACCAGATTTTCAGGAGCAGCAGGCATTTGAGTGGGTGGGTTGCCGATGGGGTGCCAAAAGTGTAGTTGGAGAAGTCAGGCATGGGGTTGGCGTCGGCCCAGGTACGGATGGAATAGATTTTAGCGATGCCAGCAGGCCCACTCCCATCTTTAGTTGCAGGGTCTTTCACTTTTTTGTTTTTGCGTCTCCGCTCGTCCGCGTTCTGCCTGTCTTATCCGTCGTGCAGCAGGAGAAGAGCAGATTTTAGCAGAGCAGCAAGGGTCGGAGAAGCCTCCCCAAGCTTCGCTAATCGCTATGCAGCCCGTCAAGGTGTACGCCGACCGGCGGTCGCAACCCTCCCGAGCTGTCATCATCTTCTGCAGGTATTGCTGTGGCTCCGTTCCGTTCGGTTCCCCTAGTCTTGTCCGGCCGCCGAGTATTGATGTCCGCCACCGTCTTGCAGGGTGAACCAGATCGATTTCGAGGAGGTCACGGTGGATCTGTTCAAGTCTCAGCACCTCACCCCCGAATTCAAAAGTACCATCCTCAGACCCTTTCCTGACACTGCCCCCCCCTTCTTCTTCTTCTTCTTTTTCTGATAGATAGAGATGAGAGAGGGAGAGTTCTTTCACCTTTCTCAAATTCAGCGGCAATTCTGTGTAATAATTCGTATTTTTCCTTTGTGCCTTCCGTTGCTGTATGGTCTTGCTTGCTTGGGTGACTCTGCGTAAATCATGAAACTCATCTCATTAGTATTTGCAGTGTTTCTCCATGTATGCTGATACGCTTTTCTCTCTTCATTCAGAAGTAAACCCCATGGGACAGGTACCTGCAATTGTTGATGGAAGATTCAAACTATTTGAAAGGCATACCCTCTCAAATCTTACACCAACTCTCTTGATTTATTATTTGCTTGCTTACCTTCTCAAATTTTGCTGAAAGGCCATCCATGAACAACCACATACAGAGAGTCAGAGACTCAATGTGTTTGACTTGACTCTGGCTAAAAAGTCTTTACATATTAAATTAGAAGCAGAGGCATTTTTATTTACAAGCTTGAATAGGAACTGCACAACTATCTGATGCTAAAAGGAAATTTCTAGACCTTCCAATAAATCTGTTTAATTACTTAATGATATAATTAGGATCACCCGGTTACATTACTATTCTATTCTATTATATGCAATTATTTTTGTACATCCTAGTTGTAGCCGTGATACTTGATGTTTTATGATGGAAGTTTTCCTTTTGTGACAGTCATGCTATTTTGAGGTATCTTGCATCGGTGTTCCCTAGAGTTGCAGATCACTGGTGCGTTACATATTAGTAGTGACACTAAAGTTATCTTATTTCCACAAGTGTTGCTTTATCTTTTTTATTTTTATGAATATTATGCCTTTTTATCGGTGTTTTACATAATAGTAATGACACTGAGCATGTGTTTGGTTCTTAATGTAGCTGTGGCCATTTTATATGTGTCACAAGTACTTTTAGTCTTAGTTGGAGTCTTTTAACCATTGGATCGTTCAAGTTAAATGCGAGTATAATAATTAATTAGTAACATTTTAGATTAGATACCACTAGGGTTCGAACCAAGAGAGAGGACAACAATGTAGTGACCTCTCAATTATAGGTTCCCTACCCGTCGAATGTCCTCTATAAACATACTCTTTCTCTCTCCCTGCGCACATGTTAAAGGTTAAACAGTGTCGTGAAAACTCAAAAGTACCACGCCCCTCCCTCCGATGCCCTCTTCTCCCTCTCCAATGAATCTAAACCTATAACAGATAGATCATTAGAATATCTTAGTTTTCTATAACAGGGGATAATGTTCAAAGCATATTGTTTTGTGGAGGGTGACTATTTCAGTTTTGTAAGAAGTGTTAGGCTCAGTAGGGTGCTGTCCAGCACCTAATCCCCAATTGGGTAGTTGGTACTAGGTGCCTAGGCAAGAGGGTGCTGTCTAGATTGCCTAGGTGGCAGATTCTCTTGAAATGTTTTGTTTTCATGGCTTTACTGGGACATGATAATGTACTAGTCTGTTGTGATGAGAATTATATACATCTTTTTTGGTAATTTTATAGTGACTGTGATATCTTTTTTGATATAGGTATCCTGCTGACTTGTTCACTAGAGCTAAAATTGAGTCAATCTTGGATTGGCATCACACAAATTTGCGTCGTGGTGCAGGTGAGATCCAGCATTACTCATGGTTGGTTCCTCTAGGAAATTGTGGCGAAATCATTCACCATGTAGGTTGCTTGGTTTGCATTCAATGATGGGTTAGTTCATAATCGGGTCATCCCATATTTTCCTTATTTTTGTACCAGCCTGGTGCTTATAAGAGACACGTTGATTGTAGACCAGCCCATTCTATTCCTCAAGCTGAACAAGTGGGTTATGCTTGGAGTTGGCATTGAATGCTTATTGACCATTGTTTTCCTCAAAGCAGAACCTTAGATGTGTTTACAAGAGATTATGCCAATTGAGTTTACCTGTTAGTGAAATGGAGCGATGCTTCAATCAAACCTGTAATAAGAGTATCTACATATTCTGCAGCCACATAATCACATATATAAATTTGTCTCAACTAATAAGCCCACTAGATTGTTTGTACGTGTGCAGCAACCGTTGTACAGCACACTGCATTGGCTCCCTTTCTTGGTCTTACGACAAGCCCTGAGGCTGTAGAACAAGCAGAGAAACTTCTAATGCAGTCACTGGGGGTGATTGAATCGGTGTGGCTGAAAGGTGATGCAAAGTTCTTGCTAGGTAACCCCCAGCCATCGATTGCAGATCTGAGCCTTGTTTGTGAGATAATGCAATTGGAGGCATGCCTGTTTCCTGCTGTTGCTATCTAGAGTGTTATGAGATATATATATATATATATATATATATTTTTTTTTTTTGCTTAAAAACTGCAATGTGGCTTTGCAGATCCTTGGCGATGAGGTCCGTGACCGATTTCTGGGAGCTCATGAGAAGATCCTCATCTGGATGGATAAAGTGAGGAAAGCCACGAGCCCTCATTTTGAGGAAGCCAACGAGCTCCTTTTCCAAGTGAAGGCACGCATGCTGCAAAGGAAGGCTGCCGCATCAAACCAGGCTTTTGAGCCAAGCACAAAGCTCAAAATAGCATCGAAGCTCTGACCAAGGGGGGCAAGGGTTGTGCTTGTTCAGTTGTTCTAGTACTAGGGTTGAAGCCTTGAAGGGGAACATACTGTTGTAAGTATATAGAGTACTCGAGGGAAAGCAGAATAAGCGACAGGAAGAGCTATGAACATTGTGGTGCACTGTGTGGATCAAGTAACCCACCACCCTACCGAATGGGTTCCTTTCGTTATGGAAAGTGAACAATACTGGACTTGTATATGAGAATTGGTTATTCATTCACAAATGTACGATGGTTCCTACTAGAGCATCTGTAGCTGAATGGATATCTATAAGGGTGCAAACCACATCTCAGTGCAACCCATGAAAACCCCATTAAAACCATACTTAGGAGTTTTCAAAAAAATTGAAACTATGCACACCAATAGTGCATCTGTAGATGTGCATTGTCACAAAATTTGAGATTCAAACCCGTTTTGCAAAAAATCATACGAAAATAACAAATTTCATTTACATATGCACTAGAGGACAAAATTCCCTGGTTGAATCATTATTTACTTGCTTAACAGTCATGCATCATTTAGGTTTAATAATAATAATTATTATTATATCTATTTGGATTTGGAATTTGGACCTGTGGTTCGGTACTTCGGTGCCTTTGAACCCTGCTCATGCCCTCATCGTATAACAATAATAAAAGACAAGAAGCGGCAGCTCATCCTGCCCAGGTTTTCAAGAGCAAAACTATGAGGATTCATCAATCCTGTCTGTACACAGCACGGACTTACGGAGTGTTCGGCTGGTCTTATCGGCCAGCTTATTCGCTGGCTTATAAGCCATGATACAATATTTTTCTCTCTAAAAAATCAGCCATACAAATCAGCACCAGCGGCTTTACAGCCAGCCGACGGAAACTACTACTGTTCGTTCCAGCATGACTGCAGTAAACTCTGTAACACCCACCACCCCAAAAATTTATTCCAAGGGAATATTTACTATTGTTCTTGGTACAGAGGCGACACAGCCTCCCTCTAGTCTGATGTCTTGAATCTGTGTGAAAACTTCTCCAGGCCGTCCTTGCACTCTTCCATTACCCTCTTCGACTTATCTCCAAGGGTTGCACCAAACGCAGATACACTGCCCAGGCCGTCCTTGCACTCTTCCATTACCCTCTTCGACTTATCTCCAAGGGTTGCACCAAACGCAGATACACTGCCCTGCACTTCTGCTGATACCTTGTTTGCCTTGGAAGCAGCAGAAGCCCCAAACTCGGTACACCACTGCCTTGCATCTGCAGCTTGCTGCTTTAGGCTTGCAATGAAGGACCTCACATGTTGCATCACTCTCTCCAGCGCACCACGAGACCGCACTTTCATCTCAGCAGACATTGACTTTAGCTTCTCCAGCAAAGATTCTGCCCGGTTGATAGCCTCATCAACTGGATGTTCTTTGCCAGCCTTAGCCCATGTGACTCCTGCTGAAGCGTCATCCTGGAGTCCTCCTTCAACAACAACTTTGATTCCTTGACGCTCCCATTGGTTCCGGGCCTCCTCAAGGGCCCGTGCATGCTCCCGGGCCTTTTTGGCTTCCTCCTCTGCCCAAGCCCTGGTTAAAAAGGGTGTGTCAATTTACATCGGATAGCTGGCATCTCATCTCACATAAAAAAAAAAGTGCTCTGACGGACATGCGGTATGAAATGCAGATAATGAAAAGTTAACAGTCCCGCAATTGAGTTATCTTGCATACACAAGCTGGAATCCAAAAGATACTCCCTCCACTCCAAAATGTAAGTCATTTTAGTTTTATCTGAGTTAAACATCTCTAAAGTTGACCAATTTACACAAAAATTGTGCCCACATCTACAACATCAAATTAGTTTAATTAAATCAACCATGAAATATGTCTTGATAGGGCATTTATTTGGTACTGTAGATGTTACTTTTTCCAAAAATTTGGTCAAAGTTAGAAATGTTTGACTTAGGACAAAACTAAATCGACCTACATTTGGAAGTGATTGGAACAGAGGTAGTAATAAGCATGAACTTAGGGCCATATGTATTTTTTTAGTTCCAAAAGTGATCATATCTAGCAATCACTAGCAGAATTTTTATAATATTCTTTCTGATTATGTGATACCCTGGATGTTCTAAGTTTTCAGCATGATCGCTACAGTTAAAAGTCCCCAGAACAAAGTTGAGTGTCCAAAAGTCCAAATTATAAGCAATCGAGAGTTGAACCATAAACTATATGATATCCAGAATCATAAAAACTTCATCTTAACAGTTAACACTCAGCTAGATGAGAAACCAATAACAACCTTGTCTATACTAGCATGCAGAAATACTATACGACAAAAGAAGGGTTGGGGTTCAGGGTTCGAAACCAAATTTAGTGCAGAGAAATCTCAGATGTCAAGAATTCTTGCCTTGCCATAGATAGCGCCTTCCTCTCCACTTCAAGCTCATATTGAAGTTGCACAACAGCCAAGTTATCATTCTCAATTTCCTTTTGGAGTTTTTCAATCCTACTCTTCTCAAAGGAGACCTCCACCTTCTTGCTCAGTACATTCTGCAGCTGTTCCTCTACTTCACTCCTCAACTTCAACAGAACTTCCATTTCAGATTCAACAGCAGCTCTGCCCCTGAGCAGAATGTTCTTCTCTTCCTCTCTTTCTGCCCTCAACCTATCCAGCCCCATCCTAGCTTCTTCAACTAGTTTTTCAAGGGTCTCTACCTTTCCTCTTTCCTCCTTAAGCTCCCTTTCAAACCTTGCATTAAGATCTTTCTCAACCTGAGCAACCAATGCACCATGTGCATTTACAGCTGCTTCAGCTATTTTCTCTGCCTCAATACGAGCAACCTCCTCCAGAACCACTTCACCAGAATCACCAGTTGAAATTGCTAGGGCAGCTTGTCCCTTCGTCACAGGTTTGTTCGGTTGGAAAAGTCTTGTGAAACCTTCAAGAGAAGAGCTTTAGCGATAACCCTGAATCCACACCAGGAAGACCAATTATATAAAGAGCTTACCGAAGGAAAGAGCTGTAATGCTCTGGTCTGCAGCACCCAAGTCAGCGGCCAAAGCTGGCCAGGCAGCTGTGTTTATCTTATCGATGTCTATATAGCCAGATACTTTGAACAAACACTGCCCAGAGAGAGAGAGAGAGAGCACATTAACGTAAGCATAGACAGCTGATGTCAAGATAGAAATCATAGAATTTAGATGATAAAAATATTTTCTATTTCTTACATTTCTGTCAACTTCAGGCAGTCGCCTCTTATCCAGGGCCATTTTCCAACTCACAAGGTCTTGACGTGACAAAGGACTGAAGGGAAGACAACTGATTAGGATTTAGGAATTTGATAGAGCATACAAGGGAGGCACATACAATTGAAATATCATCACCTCTCAGGGGAAAACAAGATATGATTGTCATGAACATCTTCTGGGATATTCATATCAGAGCTTGAAAGCTTGCTAGAAATCAATCCAGCTTCTGCTAGGCCTATGGGTATATTGAAATGAACATGAATGACATAACATTACACAATGATGATTCACTAATCCATACATAAACTTGCTTCAAGACATGCCTCACCTTGTATGAAGGGGAAATCAGGATCTTCAGGTGTGATATCATCAAATGCAAGTTCAGTGACATTATCAATATACATTGCTGGATACACTTTCGAGAAAGTGTTCCTGTTTGGAAACCACAAGAATAAGCTGGTTAACAGAATAATCACTTAAGAGAGCAAAAACTGAAAATCTAACAGCACGAGGCAATAACCTTAAACATATCAAGAATGTGAAGGCATTTGCTCAAATAGGACAAAAGAGAAACGGAACCATACTGCATATTTGCAACAAGTACTTGGGAGGTCAACTGATACAAAGGAATAATAGATATGCACCTTGAAAGGCAATTGCTCGCGACTACCAACCATCGAGCATACTCACGCCGGGTACACAAGTCACCAGCTTGAGCACTGGGTTCGATCACCTTAGAAGAGGACAAATTATTAGGCAAAGGAGTTCCATATAGTTTCAAAGATTGTCTATCTAACCAACTCCAGTCTATAGTTTACATCATGCAAATGCGATGGCGCAAGATATGACATGACACTTATCCACAATGGGTGAGTTTCGATTGAGGGAAAAGTTGGATGGGATGAGCCAATTTTTTGTTTGGTTCAATGGATGAGGGGTGGATGGGATGAGAATAGTCAACTATTTATATCTCTTAACTTCAAATAATAATAACAGTTAATGGTAATACAAATCAATGGGCAATAAACACTAATATTTTCATGGTTACTATTAATTTATAACAGAATAGGTTAATTATCATTAACTTTACTCCAATAAACACTAAGTAACAGCAAAGTAGACTAATTTCCATAATTAACACTAATGTCGATATGGTAACCCATTACTAATTAACAACAAAATAGACTAATTATCACTAATCAGTTATTCAAGATCAAGGTTAGCGAAGGTGGATGGTCTCTGGCCATATTTTGCTAATCATCTATCAAAATATTCCCTTGATATGGATTTCCTATCCACCCTGCTCCAGTGCTCCTAAACCAAACACCTCAAGAGCGCCATCTCCCATCAAACAAACAAACACATCCAATCCCAAAGGAAGTTCAGGTTACGGCCCAACCCTCCGCTCAGCAAACAATATTGGTTCAGGGCCAAATAGAGGTTTTTATATATCCTTATTAGACCATCCAAAGATTACAGACAAAACAAAGAACCATTCAGAGATCCCAAAAAAAAAAAAAAAGAATCATCACCAAACTGAGTGACAGTGACTCCCGAAAGATACCTTTAGAATTTGCAGTGCAGCTATAGCATTTTCCTGGGTTGGGTCAACAGAAGCTGGAACCACAATCTGCCCCACGGGCACCTGTGAAGCAGTGGATACTATAGAGGGGGCAGGAATTCCAGGAGAAGAAAAATATTGGTCAGGTGGTGTGGACTCGAATGGTTTGTTTTGCTTTTCTAATTCACTTTCTCTTTTATACAGATCTTCTACTATAGTTTCCTCCCCATCTCCTGGCTCACTGGTCCCCATAGCCATAGATAACTCATTTGATCCAAGTGGATGCATCTCATCGGCACTTACATGTTCCATATAATCAGGCAATTCGGACGGAGAAAGTTCAACTTTGTCATGAGTTTGTGGGTTCTGCTCGATACCTTTGTCTTCTGGGTGAAATGCAGCAGCAACGGCACTGTCAGAGATGTCTTGGATGGGCACAACACCATCTGAATCTAGCACCATTGCATCTGAAGTTAAAGTTTCATCCAAATGCTCGTTTTCTAGCAAAGCCATTTTGAGATCTGATGTTTCTTCTACATTAGGAATTCCCTCTGAGGGGTCTGCAGCATCAAGTGTGCTAGATGGTGCAAAAGAAACCTGAGCATATTCAGATGAGATGGGCAGAGAAGGAGGTGATGCTGGATTTTGATTACCATCGGATGCAATGAGATTGTCAAACTGATGCGCTTCTTCACCGACAACATGGTTACCGTTAGTAACAGGCTCAGTGTTCTGCAATGGGTGCCCCACTTCATGTTCAGCTGGCACCCCAGGAACCTCCTCGTTTGACAGTAGAGGCATCAGGAATTCATCTGTACCTTTTGTTTCATCAAGGTTGTCATTGTTTTCCTCCCAATCCGTTGGTAAGGAAGCTTGGGCATTTTCTTCCCTGATAGCGTCATCCTCTTTGTGGGAGTGATAATCAGAGTAAGATTCCGTGGCAGCCGTCTCTGTAGGCAAGTTTTGCATTTTTGCTGCATAGAGAAGCGACAGAAAGCAGCAAAGTGAGCAGGGTAGAGAGGCTTTGGTTCTTGGAGATGGAATGAAAATGTAGGATGTTTTTGCTAGGTAGGGGTTAGTAGAAAGCAAAGAAAGGGAAGAGATAAATACCAGCTGCGTGGTTGCCACTGCTTCTGATGGAGACGGCAGCAAAGGTAAGGCCGGCGAGGAAGAAAAAGGCAGCAAGTCCAGGTCCTAGAAGCCCTGAGGAGGAGCTACCATATCCGAGTGTCAGCAATCCACAGGATCAGTAATAAACTTAGTTGGAATTCGATTAATTCGGGTGCAAGTCCTGCCTAGATTGGATTGGCATCAATCAACTCAAAGGTTTAGCTAGCTAGATAGCTAGGGTCCGTGGATGGGTGCGGGTGAAGTGGAGCTGTGACTGCTTGGAATTAATATACTATAATGGATGGATGAGTAAGTAAGGATAAGGAGGAGCAGAAGATGATGGATGGAGTGAGTCTCACCTCCTGCTGGCCCGAACCCTAGAGTAGATCTGTCGCCGCCGTCATCGGCGCTATCGGAGGACCAGCCAGCGAAGGAGTTGGGCGGGGACGAGCCGGGACCGGGAGACGCTCGGACGGGGCGCAGGCGCAGGCGCGGGGTCGAGAGGAGGAGGAGGACCCGAGCAGGGACCGGGCGGCGAAGAAGGTGGAGCTGGAGACAGCATGCCATCTTGGCCGGGTAGGCAGCGACAGGGGCGGGCATCTTGCTCTTGTGGCCGGGTGCGGGGAGGCAGGCAAGCTGAGAAGAGAGGCACGTGGTGGTGGTGGTGCTGCTGCTTCGGCTCCTTTTGCTCTGCTCGGCTGCCTGGCCGTCGCCGGAGCAGGAGGACGACGACGACGGCGTATAGAGATAGATAGGGTGTGAGCTGAGCACCCACCAACTTAATACTGCTCCTGCGGTCCAAGTCCTTCTCTCTCTCTCTTTTTATTTGATTTGAGGATGTCCTAGTCCTAGTAATCTACTCCTATGGATGGTGGGAAGTGGGATTGGATGGGATGGGATGGGATGGGATGGACATGAACGAAAACGGCCCAGCCCATCTTTCGTGTCCTCCAGTCCTCCCCCGGTTTGGCCGCTCGCCCGCTGGCTGTGCCTGGCACTAGAGAGGGGGTGGCAATCTATCATTTTGTCCTTGGATCGATTTGCTTACTACTGTAATTGGATTGGATTGGATTGGAGTAGGTAATAGGTAATCAAAAAATTCCTCCTTTTGGATGGAATCGAATCAATTCTATCCTAACAATATCGCATGCAATCCAGTTCAGTTCAACAGATCGAGGAGACCACGACGACGACGACTGACGCGACGGATTCAGGCAGAAATTTGTTTTGAATGATTAATCACAGAAGAAGAAGAAGAGGCGTAAACAAGGCGAAGGCCGGCGCGGCGACGTGACGGTGATCCACCAGGACAGGACAGGCCACGACACCGATCGATGGCGCACGTCCTGCACAGCTTCTGGCGACGCCACCGGTGGACGGCCCTGCGCTCCCTGCTCCTCGTCGCTCTGCTCCACCGCCTCCATTTCTTGGCCTTCCTCGCCGCCTCCTCACCCGTCTGGCTGCTCACCGCCTTCCTTCTCGGTGCCGTCCTCGTCAACAGCGAACCCAACGTCCCCCTCGCAGCGGCATCAAAGGATGAGGACCGCCACCTCTACAAGAAGATCCGCCGCCACCAACCGGTCACGGGGGCCAGCGGCAGCGGCAGCTGCTCTGACGACGACAACGAATCCTCGGTCACAAGCATGGAGGACGTCGAAGACGTGGAGGACCACCTCGTCGTAGACAAAGCAGAGGAGGAAGAGGTGCTCAAGGCGGCCGTTGCCTGGACGGCGGACGACGAGCACAGCATCCAGAGCATCGGGTCGCTGGAGCTGGAGAGGGACGCCAGGCTGGAGAAGCTCATGTCCAGGCGCACCACACATCGGAACCTCATCGACCTCGACGTCCACATTCCCGCCGTGATGGCGCCTAGGACCAAGAACCCCTTCGACCTCCACCACCATTCTTCTTCTTACTATGATGATGGCCATGGCGCAGCCACAGCCGCAGCCGCCGCCGCCGCGATGGACGCTGCCCCCGGCTCCGCCCCGTCGTCCCTGCTCGGCCAGCACACCAACCCCTACGATGATATCCATATCCAGCAGCAAAGGGAAAGGGATAGGGATCCCGACGAGGAGGACACAGAGGATGAGAAGAAAGCGGCAATGCTGAGACGGCACGAGAGCTTCACGGCCGGCGCAGCCCCTCTCGCCCGGCCATCGCGCTTCAAGCCCTACTTTGTCGCCGACGTCGCGGAGGGAGACGGTGGCGGCAGGGGCGCCGGCAGCGACAACTCCAACTCCAACTCCTCAAGCCCGTCATCCTCAACGGCCAGCGATCACCAGACTCAACAAGAAGCCGCAGTCAAAGTAGAAGAGGCACCTGCGGCATCGACGTCGCCGTGCGCGTGGGACGGCAAAGGGAACAGGATGGTGATGGCGGTGGACGTGGAGCTCATCAGTGACTCCTCTGACGACGACATGTCGCTGCAGGGTGACGATGCCACCGGCGGCAGCCTGAACAATGCTCGTGATCACTCGGATGACGACGAGGAGGACTCGTTCGAGGTGGAGAGCATCACGCAGCAAGTAGCTGCAGGTAGGTACCTGCTCTTCTGCATTTTGGAGAAGCCTCAGCTATTGCTTGCTGCAAATGCAAATTGATGTGATGTGATGTGTAGGCAAGCAGCAGCTGCAGCCGCCCCGTGTGACTGCTGCTGTTGAGCCCGTGTCGCCTCCATCAGAGCCGCACCGGCACCAGCAGCAGCACCACGAGGACGACGACAAAAAGGACGCGGGCATCGTCAGTGGCAGCAACGAGTCTACGCTGGCATCAGTGGAAGAGAACGAGCAGAGGGAGAGGGAGCTCACCGAGATCAGGGAGCACCACATCTTGGGCGCTGTTCCAGTCATTGACTCATCCGGCACCTCAGCTGGTGCTCGAGTTGGAGCTGCAGGTGCCGCGGTCGCAGCGGCCCCAACACCACCGGCAACTGCTGCTGCAGGACCACCACCTGTAGCAGCACCACCACAGCCGGCGGCAGCTGCAGCAGCACCAACACCACGGGCAACTGCTGCGGCGGCACCAACACCACCGGCAGCAGCTGCTGCTGCAGGACCACCACCTGTAGCAACACCACCACAACCGGCAGCGGCTGCAGCTGCACCAACACCACGGGCAACTGCTGCGGTAGCATCAGCACCACCATCAGGGAAGCTGAGCAGCAAATCCAAGGTGGCCTCCAAGAAGATAGACCCCAAGAAGGCTGTCTTCGGCTTCTTCCGAAAATAGTGAATGCTTTTCTATTCCTTTGTTTTTTTTTTCTTTATTTACTGACAAGTCTTTCAAGTTTGTACTCTACACAAACAAAGAGCAGTAGGTGGTATAGCCAACCCAAGAAATAGGTCAATTAAAGAGCAAACAATTCTCAAAAAAAGAAGAAGAAGAAGAAGCAAGTGTAAATGCATTACTAATTACTTACCAGTAAAAAGTATAAAAAGGTAGTTGGATTGGCTGTAGCTCTAAAGATTCTTACCAGTAAGCAGTTGGATTACATCCAAAGAAAGCAATCCCTTGCTTATGTAGTAGATAGACAACAGCGGGATGGATGATGCTTTATTCTTCAACACACAGACCGTCTTATTCTTAAACCACCAAGCAAGCAAGTTTGTCCAGCTGCAAGAACCTCGCACCCCTTCAGCTTCAGGCGGCCTCTTTCATCAAGCAAGCAAGCCCCTTCCCTATACTCACACATCCAACACCATGAACTCCACCTTGCCATCTATCTCCTTCCAATCTCCCTGTTTCAAGATCCAACCAGCTCCTCAGCTGAGTCTCTGGCCTCCTAGGAAACAGAGCACAACGAAACCAGGACTGTCTCTAAAGCTTATACGCGCAGCACTAGGACCAGACACTAATAGCGGATTCAACAATGCTGACCGCAGAGGTACCACCTTACCATCTTCACCCCTGTCAGATGTAGTTCAGGAGTTTTACTCCTCCCTCAATGAAAAGAACAGCAAACGACTCGATAAGTTGATGGCCCCTGATTGCATCGTCGAGGATACCGCTTATTATAAGCCACTGGATGCCAAGGTTAATTTCTCATCTGCTTCAGCTTTTCACATTCCAGTTACATCTACATGTTACATTGGAGCATCAGGCTTCCCAGGTTCCTATACTTAAGTTCACAGAATGAAAAGAAAAGAAAAAAATCTGCATGCAGTGTACCCGTACCTACTTCAAACGATTGATGGAATCCATGGGAGAGAAGGTCAAATTTGCCATTGACGAGGTTTGTCAAGGTGCAGGGCGGACCGCTGCAGTAATGTGGCACCTTGGTAAGATCACTGCGAGTTCAAATTACAAAGTGATTGGAAAATCTGGTAGGACAATGATGCCGTCATATTGCTTGCTACAGAATGGAATGGATACATCATCCCCTTTACCAAGGGCTGCAGCTTCTACATATGCTCAGCAAATGGAGCGGTGCTTCTTATCAGGTAGCTGAGATCAACCCCTCTGTATTTCAGCCAAGCTCTTAGAATTGCAATATTGTTGGTTATGATTTGTACAGTTTGCATTAAGCAATGAAAAAGTAAATGAGCTACCCTTTACCTGAGATAGCAATGATTCCACATACACTGCAGGAAAATTCACATCTTCGATGAGTCACCACTGAAGCCAGGAAAGTGGGCATTGGTAGGCACACTAATGAGTCTCCTGCTTTTGCTGCTCTATAAATCTGTATAAGTCCAATTGAACAAGCCATACCTTGCACTAATCATATCCCATGAAAAATTCCAATGCCTACAGGAAATACTCAACATTGTTACCAACTTAATCAACATGTTCCCCAAACGAGCTGAAGGTATGTGCTTCATAAGATCCACAAAATTTCCGTATAGACTGTTACTAGCTAAATCTAGCTAAGCATGCTGGTATGCCTACAGGTTTCCTCAAGGATCCAGAAGCAGTAGTTCAACCATTCATAAAGCTCTACAAGTTTTATGTGGAGCCTTTTGTCCTCCCCTTTCTTGCATATTATACCCACTTCTGGACATATGTGGCTCGAGGATTGACTATGGTGCTACATATCTTGTATAACCTATATAAACGGCTTATGTAAAGAGCTAAAGTGACTGAAATTCAGAAAAATAAATTTGCAAAGATGCATGTATTAGTATATTAACTCGATTTTGTGCACTCAAAAGATTAATAAAAAAAACTTCCTTTATTGAAAAAAAAAACTATTAGTATATTACCAGTAACATCAGGAACAGGGGAGAAGCAACCAGCCCATGAGAACCAGATGTGCTATGGGGAGACTCCATGGCCCAGAAGTTTCCATATGATGTGATACTGGTTATCATACCCATGCTCCTGAGAAACAGAAATTGTCATCATTTCACTTTTGAAGGAAATGACTTTTAGCATAAGGATGTAGATATTCACATGAAATGGCTGCAAGGACCTGTGGACTACAGAGCATTTACTTTGTTAAAGTCCTGATGTTTTATTAACAGCATTGAGAAAAAATTCCCTGAAAGGAAAGTGTTGCCTGAGATTTTCCCAATAATGGTTTACTGTCAGTTCTACTGTTGCATAATATATGCCAGTGTTGTCTACTGAATGTGACTACGTGTCCTTTAAAAGGAGATAATGTGCTACATTAAAGGTTGTGACGTCAAAGGGGTATAATCAATTTCATAGAATGTATTGTGTGTGGTTTCTGCGCACTGAAATCTCCATAAATTCTTGACAGGGACTCCACAAGAGATAAGCAGACCCAGAATTAACCTTCTTTTCACCCCAAGCTTAATGTGGAGCTCCTTTTCTTATATTGAAGAAATTGTGGAGAAAGAATACATCCGTTTCCTTGGGAATATTTAACAAGAACCCAAGCTCAGTTTTCAGCAATTGATTGGTAGCCCAGAGCTTGGATGCCTGCATCCCCTGTTCATCCCGCAAATATGTCTGTTCATCGTGATCTTGTATCAGAGGAAATGCCTGAAAGCATATTCCGTAACAGTGAATCTGATGGATCCAACTCTAGTGCCTTCTTGGCAATATATTCACCAACCACCTGTTCATTGTGGAGCTTGCAATATGCCAGCAGGGTCCTGTAAATTGATACATCTGGCTGGACGGGCATGGCCTCGATGGTGTGTGCCACCTCTGTAAAGCGGCCTGCTTGTCCTAGCATATCCAGGAACCATGTGTAGTGGCTCTTTTGTGGGGGAACATCCAACAAATTCGTCATAGAGTTGAAATGTTTGATGCCAATGTCAACTAAGCCACCATGGCTGCAGGCGGAAAGCACAACTGTGAAAGTGACCCCATCAGGCTGAGCCCCAGCCAAAATCATGTCTTCAAAAACTGACAACGCTTCAGTGTAAGAGCCGTTGAATGCCGTCCCGAAGATTATAGCATTCCACGACACGACACTGGGTTCCCTGATTGACTGGAAAGCACGCTTAGCATCCTCCAGACACTTGCACCTGCTGTACATGTTTATAAGGCCGTTGGAGAGAGATACCTGACCGCTCAATCCCAATTTCACTGCACAGCAGTGCAGCTGCTTCCCGGACTCTATGGATGCCAAGGTCGCAGCAGCAGAAAGGAAGCAAGCTAGGCTGAAACCGTCGATACTAACCTCCTCATGGAACATGTGAAGTATCAAGTTGAGTGCCCTGTGGTGAAGCCCGATCTGATTCAGCCCTTTGGCCAGGCTCGTGTATGTGAATCTGTCCCTCACGAAGGACATTGTGGTAGCCACCTCCCACGCGTCATCCAGTCTTGCAGACCTTGCATACACATCAACCAACGAGTTCCCGACAGCCGCGTCCAATGACTCAGAGCTGGTCTTGAGCACATAGGCATGGATCTTTGCAGCGTGCAGACATGCATGTGCAGAGGTGCAGCCTTTCAGAAGAGTAGACAGGGTGAAGGAGTTGGGCTGCACCCCGGTAGCCCGCATACGAGCAAATGCCGCAAACGCCTCTTGTTCCCTGCCATGGCGCATGAGTCCAGCGATGAAGGAAGTCCAGGTCACCACATTGGGCATGTCAACCGCATGGAAAGCATGCAGCAAGTCGAGGGGACATGCGGAGGACTTGCTGTACAAGTCGAGGAGCGCATTGCAAGCAGAGGTGTCGTGCTCCAGACGAGACTTGAAGAGGCGGGCATGGAGCTGCTGTCCGATGTGCAGCGAGTGGTCCGCGGAGCAGGCAGCGATGAGCGCTGCGTAGGTGAAGGCATTGGGAGGCACCGCAGAGCGTTCCATGTCACAGAACGCCAGCAGAGCAGGCTGGAGCTGGCCACGGCGCGTGTAGGCGGTGATAATTGCCGTCCAGAGAACGACGTCGGTTTCGGGAGTGGCGTGGAGCACGGCGCGTGCGGAGACCATGGCGCCGCAAGCGGCGTACATGTGGACGAGCGCGGTCTTGAGGACCAGGCCGAGGTGGGGGCTCCAGCAGCCCCAGCGGAGGAGCTGCGCGTGGAGCTGGGTGCCGTGGCAGTGCAAGCGCATGGAGGCGCAGGGGGCGAGCAGCTTGGAGAAGGTGTGCTGGGTGGGCGCACAAAGGGGGAGCATGCACGGGTAGAGCGCGAGCGCCCCGTGGCAGTCCCCAGCGCGGAGGAGGGCGGAGATCATGGCGGTGTAGGAGACGGCGTCTGGGCGCGGCATTTCGGCGAACACCCTGGTGGCGCTGTTCCAGTCCTCGCAGTCGGCGTAGAAGACGAGGAGAGAGCAAGCGAGGACGGGGTTGGAGGCGGCCAGACCACGACGGCACACCTGGGCGTGTATCTGGTAGGCGAGGCGGCGGTCGCGGCACCGGAGCAGGGCGGCATAGGCGAAGTGGTCGGAGGTAGCGACGGCGGGGTGGGCTCGGAGGACGCGGCGGAAGACGGTAAGCGCGGCGGCGTGGCGACCGGAGCGCGCGTGGCCAGCGACGGCGGCGGCCCAGGAGGAGGCGAGGCGTTGTTGACGGAAGACGGCGAAGAGCGGCGATGGCTGCCATGGCATGTCGCTGGGCGGCGGCGGTGGCGGTGGCGGTTCAAGCTGGCACTCACCAGAGTTTTCTTTAACCCTCCGCCCTCCTATAATTTATTTAGTACTGTACGGACCAGAGTTTTTTTTTCTAAGACTATAACGAGGTGTTTGTTTCTTTGGTCGCTCCTAAAATTCATGTCATATTGAATATCTAGATACTAATAAGGAGCATTAAATATAGATTAATTATAAAATCAATTACATAGATGGAGGTTAATTTGCGAGACGGATTTTTTAA